ACGGTGTTAAAAAAGTGTTAAATGTCGGATTGATGGCATTATTATAGAAAGATATTATCACAATGTAGGTACATATAAAACAAATTCCTAATTAATCAAATCAGATTCATTATCCACCTGACTCATTCACATATTCATAATATAAATAAATTCTTATCAAGTATTACTATAAGTCATTAATGACATTAACTATTACAATTAAAATATCAAGGATACACTAGAAATTTTAATTACCAATGAATAATATTTTTAAATTTTAAAAAATTACAATAATACAACTAAAATTGTTATTCTTGATTATTTAATATTGTAATTACATCCAAATTTGAACTTAAAATAACTATACAAAAACTGTGTTTGTATAGTTTCAATTTTTTTTTTTTTTTTGCTGTAGAATACCTTATTTTAAATTTCCAATGCTTAGCTATAAGTTAAACGTTTTAACAGTCAAAGAATTTGTACTTTTTCAATTAAATACATTTTGAACTTTCAATGCTTATTAAAAAAAATGTAACTATGTATTATCAATATATTTTAACTACCATTGTGACAGTATATTAGGAGCATTGTGTTAAATTTTGAAGCTTTTTTACCCAATGAATAACATTTTATTGAAAATAGAAAATGTCTATAAATAACTTAAAAATATTTGAAATAATTTTAAAATCATATCAAGTATAAAAACTACCAGTGTAWACATTCAGTGAAAATTTCATGTACCTATCTACAATAATTTGTTTTATAGTTACATCATTATTTAAAATCGATTTTATGTAAAATTGCCTGTTTTAACTTAATAATTATTTTTTTGACCCAGTACTTTTGAAAACTACWGAGAATAAATACCCCAAATCTTTGTATAATTGCATGTGGCATTAGGCATAACAAAACTTGTTATTACACATTGTATCTGAACATATTAAAATATACAATAACATTAACAGCAATTTTTATTTAAGTCTTAAATAAAAATTGAATAATAATGACATGACAACTTTTGATGTCAAATTGTACTGTTTAAAACAAAGCTTAAAAGAAAAGCAAGTATTAATTTATAATCCAACAATATCAAATTAACATTAAAGCTTATYAAATGTTTATTAATCTTGAGTAAATCGCTGGCCCTTCAAAACTTTAATCATCAAAGTGTTTAAATATATTATGATAAAGAGAGATACATATTAATTGTTAGATATCAGTCGTACAAAACATTTTACGGAGTCCTACACTTAAAAAAAATTGTTTCAGTGATTAATACATTAGTTGTTATAAGTAGAATGCATAGAATTTCAAGTATGGTAAAAATAATAATTAATTTGAAACAATTATTGCGTAATTCCTATACATATTTCATTTTAAATCAATGATATTATTAAGTTACATTAGCTAATTCCTATAAAAGTTATAAKGAATAACATCAAATAATTTTCAAGATTATCWACATTATACTATTTTCAATAATTCAATATACATAATAAAAACAATACTAAGTTCATTAATTTTATTTTCTAGTAGTAAAAAATCATAAATCAACATAATATTATACCTGGATATTAAAATTAAAATAACCTTTAAATGTTTGATGATATTTTTTTTTTAAATAATCTACTAAAAGAAGTTATACAATTATGCATATATGTCATACAAAATACAAAAATTAATAAATAAAACTAAATTTAGTAATCCCAGAGTCCCATTTCTTTCATTTTAATCTGGAAAAGTCTTTCCAATTCAACTGCACAGTTTGCCCAATATGAATCTTCTGGGTTAAACGTTTTACAATTGCTAAACATTCGTCTCATATCAGCAATAAACAACTTTCTAGTTACATAGTAGCCTGAAGCCAATCGTTTACCAATTGTACTTAAGTCTGTAAATCAAATAGATTTTTGATATTATATTAAATAAAATATAAAAAGAAAAGAAAAGAAATCCTCATAAGCAACAGTGGCATATTATTTCAATATGTAAAATTAATTATTATATATTGTATGTTTGAATTAATGTATTAATGTGAATTGGTAAAAATACTTTTTAGACGACACAATTATATAATAACAATGATGAATCATTGTATATTTTAAAATGCACTCTTAGGGCCGCGCCACACTAGAGAGGTTTTGACGCGCGGTGAAAACGCAAAACCGTGGCATACAGCAGTGTCACGCGGTAAAATCGCGCTAGTTTGACGCACTCCATTACATGGTATGCGTTTTCATCTCGCGTTTTTGACGCGCGTCAAAACCGCTCTAGTGTGGCGCGGCCCTTACATTACAACCATTTTTTTTTAAACTTGTATCACTATAATGAGTCACTGTTGTATAATAAAATTATTTTCCTAGATTTAATTTTTAGAAAAAAAACTTACCCATAGGATACTTAATAAGCTCATAGTAACCAGGAACTTTTTTATCAACTGGATTCAAAAATGGTTCAGACAACGCATTGTTTTTTACCTAAAAATAGACACATGGTTAGATTACTAAATAGAAAAACTTTAGATATTCACAATGAAAAAAAGAATAGGCATAAAGATATTAAAAATATGTTTGCATGGAGTTAGGTTAAAAAGGATAATATTTTATGATTAATTAGCTATTATTAATAATTTAAGTGGTTGTTGTCTCTCTTTGGCCAACGTACAACATTATACAAAATATATTCACAAAACATTATTATTTTTATATATATTGTTGAATAACCCAGATACAGTAGAATCACTTTGTTATAAACATTATATTTCTTACAATTTGACAACATTAATTTATCTAAATATTGTTTCAAAATAATGTAATATTCACTTCAATTAAATGTGTATTTTTTTTGTGTGTCAAATAATGATAAAATACAAAACCGAAACTTCAAACCTTCAAAAATATTTTTAACTTTAATTTTTGTAATAGCTGGTTTTGTTTACTCAAAGATTAATCAACAATTGTAAAAAACAATATGTGAATGAGTTTTGTACAATGTTGAGCATGTCAGAGTAAAAAAAAAAATTCTGCACTGATATTCTTTCAGTAATTTTTTTCTTTATWAACTTACAAATTGCAAAACTTTTTTTAGGTGTTTAGCCAAAACATCAATATCGGTTGTTTCTTCCGTGACACGGCTATTTCTTGTAGCCCGAGTTGATGGTGTCCAGCCAGTATCCATAACACCGGGTATTGATTCAATTGTGACCATACGTACACCATCTAAGAAACATGTTAGGCCTGGGTAATGCCTTTCTATTTTCATATGTTTTTCTTCCACCAGACTCTTAACTATCTATATAATTATTTGCATRATTGGAATTAGTTATTTATGCAAAAAATATTTGTCGATAACTTACTTCTTTTTGTATACGTATCACTGATGTTAATTGAGTATAAATAATTTTTGGGTTTAGCTCACAATGCATCAATATTGCACCCTGATAATGTTTAATATATTCTTGATGTATTTTCTTCGATATTCTCACATCTTGGCTAAACCCTTGCTTCTTAAAATATTCTATGAAAACATTTTGAATGAGTTATAAAAATCTGGTATTATTTATCACAAGCTATACCAATTGCAAGTTTATCAGCATAAGTAAGAAAATTAAGTATATTATGTTGAATATGATAATCCTTTAAATGATTCATTAGTTGTGTTCCATATCCATTTTCTTGTTGATCAACTTTGACAGCACAAAACACAATTTCTGTAAAACCTTGAGATACAAATGGACAAAAACAAATACCACCAATTGGAACGCCATCTTTCAACAAAGCTAGTGTTTTGTGCTTCCTATTTGAAAAATATTAAATGGATTTATTAAATCTATTCATACAACAAATTTAAGCTACAAATAATTGTTTAAATTTGTTTAAAAATATTATAGTGTTTTGTAAATCTGTTAAAAATATTTAATTAATTTTAACAATCAAAATGAAAATAAATAAGTAATATTTATAAAAATACACTATACTAGAAATTATCTTACAATCTTTTTATTTATGACTGATTATATATAATATTTATGTATATTATACAAGTACATACAATTTATGTATTTTGAGAATAAAATTACTGAATCTAAAATGTGAAACTGCTGATCATTAAATTAAATTTTATATAAACAATGATAATAATTGTCATATTACATTGAAATTTTAGTAAAAATAAATACTTACGTATCAAATACTAATCGAGTAATGTATCTAACTGGCATTCTTGGCAACTGAGTTCTAAACAAATTTCTTAGTTGCATAAGCCACAACATAGTACTTTTTTCAACTCTTGAATCTAATGAATTACCAATAACCACAAATCGTATAATTCCTTGCTCTTCTTCCGTTCGAGCTTGATGTCCTCGAGGTCCAGTTTCTAATCCAAATTCCTAAATTATTTTAAAGTTAGTTTCAATAATTAAAATTAAAATACTAATGATATTAAGATACTATTAAACAATAAATTTAATAATTTAAGCTACCTGTATTACTGGATGTTAAAAGTTAATGAAATAAAGTGTTCTTTTGAACATTTAAAAATATTTGTATAATAATTTATTATAGACACTAAGCAGACAATATTAATGGCTATCATGATTACAGCTCAAAGTATACAAACGTAAACAATTTAAATAAAACATATTTATGTCAATATTATAAAAAAAAGGGATACTGAATATTTGTTAAGAATTAGTTTTATAATTAAAAAATAAATTATAGGTCAAATAATTAATACATATTAATTATGATCTTATCGATATATTTTATAATTATTATTGAAAACGGTTCTTAATAATACACTAATGTGAGAAGTAAAATTATTTATTTTTGTAGTTATAGATGAACATATAAATAACTAAAATTAGTTTTAAAATAAATTTTACCTTAGAGTAAGTGATAGGCCCACTTTGGACATTTTTTAGAATGTCTATGATTTTTTCTTCAGATAAAGCATCTTCGAGACTATGTTTTTCATTTGGTTTCATTGACATGTCCCTAAAATATAATAAAATTGATTTTAATTTTAAAATTAGTAATGTATCTAATATGGTTTTATTAAAATTGTTAATTATTAAAGCAAGTAGAACGAATTGAAACATATTAAATGCCTAAAAATATAACAGGAATATTTTTTTTAAAGATGATAATAACAAAGGCAAGTGGCTATCTGTTATTTTAATATTTGTTTTTAACAACTAATTTTATATRTGATACATACTCATTCGGATGTTTATCTTTTTTCCTACGATCTCTATGTTCTGCTTCCTTGGTTTCATCTAACCCAGAGTCTAAAGAATCTAAAGTGTTAAGGTAATCAATATAAGTCAAGTAAAAGAAAGACATGATCAAAAATGTACATAAAAAATAAAAAAAATTTGATTACCAGTTAAAATAATTTTTTTTAAATCAGAATCTTTAAAATGTAAATCCCAAATTGGTGAATGAACAGCATACACTTCTTCTTCTAGTAAATTCATATATCTAAAATTTAAAAAAAATTAAATATGTATTGTATTTCTAATTAAATATGTTCAAATAATTTTTTATTATTATTAAATGTATTATTTACTTAGGCAAATAGCTCATGCAAAAGTGTTTTCGATGATTTGACCATTTTGGAGCTGATGCATGACACCAGTCTGTTAAATGCATTCTAAATGCTTTTAATGTGTATTTAAGAATGTCTTGACCAAATATCAAACTCATTTTAAAACTTGGTGCAATTGAATGAAGATATTTGGGTAATAGACAAAATACTAAATATCTAAAACACAAAACTAATATATTACAAACATGTTTACTTCATAAAACAGATTTTTATATAAGAATATTGATCGTTGTTATTACCTTTGATAATAGAACTCATAATTTTTCCTGTGTTGAAACGTTTTACAATGTGGTAATTCTTTAGGAGAAATCCATTTCCAAAGATCAAAATGTTTTGTTAAAAATTTACTGATCTTTAAAGCTATTTTAAGTTGCTAAAATATACACATTTTTAAAAATTATAAAGTTATTTAAATAACGGAATGTATTTTAAAAATATTACACGTAAAGATATTAAGTAATAAAATATTAGACGTACAGAACTGTCATGACCAAATTTATACATGTTAAAATTCATTAAAGCTTTAACTATGTTTGGATTTTCAAATGGTGGAGTTCCAAATAATTTATCAAGTGTAATACAAGATCCTGGATATACAAAATTTCGTAATTCCTAAAACATACATAATTTAAATCAATTCTAGGAAGTTAGTAGACAATAAGATTATAAAYGTTACTTACATGATAAACTGCATTATAAGTGTCTTCTTGCACGTAATTTCTCTCAATATTTGGTTTTTTTAAATCTTTATTTACAGTGACTGAWAGATTATCGAGATCAAATACTAATCCTAATAAGGTGTTTAACTCTTCATCCTTGGCACTTTCTAAATGAGATACATGAGAAGCTGAAAAATAATAAATAATATCTATAAACAAGTTATTAACATTAATAAATGTTCACTTGCACAATTTCATATATAACCAAAAAGTAACATAGGTAGTATCTATTATTTTAAAATATTTACACAATATATTACCAATATGATATAGCATTTAATTAATTTAAGTCATATTTTAATATTACTAATTATTATAAAAACATCTTAGATTGGTGAGAATTGTCTCGCTATTGAGTTTTATATCCCCATTTTTTTTAGCTTTAGGATTTATTATATTTTGTTTTATTTATTTCTTAAGAAATAAATAGATATTTATTTATTAGTAAAATATTTATCTAATATTTATAGTGTTAGTTATAAAATAGATACCATTGAGGCATTGACCAGACATTATAGTTATATTATATATTTTATAAAAAGTATTCAAAATTGGAATGATATTTACATTAAATGATATCTAAACTGTTTAGTGTGTATAATAAAAGTAACAACACTTTACTTTAACTAGTTAATTTTTAAGCTTTTACTCACATAGAGGATGGCTACAACCAGATTTTGTGCAAGTTGAAGACATCAAACGATTATCACGCCTACCTCGCCATCCACTACATTGGCAAGTTGAAACCTAAAAAATGTTAAATATAATATAGAATTATATACTTCTCGAGAAAGGTTCACTTGTTGACATAGTAGGTTCAATAATTGTAAAAGTACACAAATTTTTTTTATACTTTGTAATTTTAATTAATTTATAAGTATACAGCTTTAAAAGTGGGTATTATAACAGGTACAAATAAGGCTGAAACAAAACTAAAATATTAGAAATAAATAAATATATCTATATATTTTTGTATATTACTTAGGTACTTAAATATATAATTCTATGTATTTTTATTTATCATAAATATATTTATATGCATGACAAAATGTGTGACCAATATTAGATAGTCTATTCACTCAAAGTGAAAAATGCTTAAATTTTAAATCATAAATGTTTAGTTTGTCATGAAAAATAAATTAAAAGAGGATAGGGCTATGGCCGTAGACACAGATTTATTATAGTAGAGTTCTGTCTACAGCACTGGATAGAGCAAAGCTTTGGATGAAAACAATTTGAAAAGGGTTACCGACTTGGTTGACATGAGATGAGTTATATTACCTGACAAGAGGATTTACTGGATAGCTTCACCAATTTCTCATGTCTGGACAATTTGCATTCTGATTCCTTGAATTCAAGAATTGTTTGTATGATTGGATCATTCTCGATGTAGTGGTCAGGCAACAGAACGCCAGACGCAGACGACGTCGACGGCAGACATCTCTCGAGTTTTAGAGACTTGGGCATGACGGCCACTTCAGATCACGTCAGACAAAAAGTTGTCGTCACGGTATCGACCAGAATGTCAGAGCGTACGGCCAGGATCTATCATTACCATACAAAAACAACTTTTACGATAGTGCCGTTGGGGAGTCSAGATTTCAACTTGACTTAGGGAGCCGTTGAAGATCCGAGATAAAGCGTCAACTGGGAAATAGTGAATCTTTACGTTTACGGCAATCACACCTTGGTACTAACACCGGAGAAAAAATACTAAGTAGCATGAGTGGCACTGACTGGCAGCGGCTTTCTTCGTCGACCGTTATCTCGGTAACTTGGTATAAACGGTCCAGACGACTGTTCAACCGACCCGACGTTTGTTCTACGTTTTTACAGCGTGACACGAGTGTCGCATGGACAGCACGTCGTGATCCACCGGCGTCAGAAAACGATGTTTTGGTTGGCCACCACAACAACAGGTCGTCGTGGTGACGCGAATATCATGTAAATAATACGTTATCTACAAACCCTTCATATTTAGYATTATAGTAGGTAATAATTAGTGATCACCATAAATTTATAAAAAATACGCATTAACGCATTTTGAAACATCAAATAATTCAAGGCAACGTATTATTATTATAATAATCTAGGAGACTAGAAAATTATAATTTGATATTATCTCGATTTTATAGTCGATATAGTCGAGTTAAATATATAATTGCCGATAGTTATCGSATTGATATCATTTATTAATTTTCAAATACCGCCGTTTGTCATTTTATAAAATCAAATTTATTACTACTAATTACTAAARATGTAGTTATTACTAGGCTTTGGATTTGAAGGCAAAATCCTGCTTTATTAATAATAATTTGAAAAATAATTTTTTTTAATTGTGTCATTTAATATTTAAGATGATGTATCATGAATTTTCTACTATTTATAAATGCCTTTTTTGTGTTTAATTTTCAATCGTTTTAATAATTGTGTACACTAATAATACAAATCGATAAGGTTTTTTAAAGACCGTACATTGTTGTCTGTCAATTATTTTTAAAGCGTTTTATTATTGTCAATATTTATCGATATCACTAAATATTTTATCGAGTATTTGGTATGGCCAGTTAATTAAATGTTAATGAAAGTACCCATACTACCTATCTGTAGATTAAAATAAATTCATAATGCATAGATTCTATGTRGAAAGATTATATTCTATGTTCAAGAATATTTTAAGTCCTAACCATCAATTTTTACTGGAGACAGTTTATCTAAGTACAGGCATTGTATTTTTTTTACTTCAAACTAGTTTAAATAAACAATATAGCAGGGGTGGCCAGCGAGAAACCA